CTCATATTTTGGAATATAAGAGGGATAAATAAATCTGCAAAGTTATAAGTCACTTAGACAAATGTTGAGGAAGTATGATGCTGAAATAGTTTGTCTTATTGAAACTCATGTTTAGAATCACAAATTTGATAAGATTGCTAGATATCTTTTGCATGAGTGGAGTAGATTTTGCAATTATGATTTTGCTCCTCTAGGGAGAATTTGGCTTTTTTGGAAGTCCCATAAGGATATCCAATTCTAATCATCAAGCTATACACTATCATGTGGTTGACGCTATTACTAAGCAGTACATGTTTGCTAGTTTTGTGTATGCTGATAATTCTCCTTATCAAAGGAGACGACTATGGGATGAATTAGTTGCTCTAAACAGGGTGACTTTAATGAAGTTAGATATCTACAAGAAAGGTCTGATTGGATCCAAAACATGCAGTTCTCCAAAGATTCTGAGCTATTTAATGACAAGTTGAATGAAGCTAAACTTTTTGATCTTCCAGCTTTTGGACCTAAATTTACATGGTCAAACAAGAGAATAGAAGGACTCATTGTTAAAAAGCTTGACAAGTTGTTAGTCAGCAGCACTTGGTTTAACACTTTTCCAAGAACAAGAGTAGAGTTTCTACCTCCTGATATCTTAGACCATTGTGCTAGGTTGGTAACTATAATGGAAGTGGTAGCCCAAAATACCAAAAAACCTTTCAAAATTTTCAATTTTTGGACAAAGAATGAAAAGTTCCCAAACATTGTCCAAGAGGTTTGGTCATCTATCATAGTTTTAGGATGCTACATGTTTCAACTTTGTAAAAAGTTGAAGGCTTTTAAGGCCCCTCTACGACAACTTAATAAAGATTGTTACAGTGATATGCAAGGAAGGATTCAACAAGCGACTTCAAAAGTACATGCCATCCAAATTGATTTGTTAGCTAATCCTCATGAAGATTTGGTTTTGGTGGAACAAGAACATGCTAGGAGGGTGGCAGAGCTATCACTTGTTGAAGAAGCCTTTCTGAAACAAAAATCTAGATTGCATTAGCTATAGGTTAGAGACCAAAATACTACTTACTTTCATAAAGTAATGAAAGTTCGATAAAGTAAGAACTTGATAAAAGAATTGCATACTAAAGATGATAAAATACTTACTGAGCATGAGGATATTGCAAATGAAGCTATTGGTTTTTACCAAGCTTTTCTGGGGGAGTGAGGATCCTTATTGCACTAGAGGGGATCCTGATCAGTTGAAAGCTCTCTCTGACTTCCAACTATCTGAAGCAACTCGAGAAGCACTAATTTAGCCAGTTAGAGTAGAAGAATGCAGATTAGTTCTTTTCAGTAGCCCAATTAACAAGAGCCTTGGACCAAATGGGTATACTACTGAGTTCTATAAAAATGCTTGGAGCATTGTTGGAAACTTGGTTACAAAAGCAATACAAGAATTCTTCTCAATAGGGAAGCTCCTTAAAGAGGTGAATTCTACAATTATTTCTTTAGTGCCTAAGGTGTCCTACCCATCTAAGATGACTGAATTTAGGCCTATATCTTGCTACAATCTGATTTACAAATGCATCACGAAGATTGTTGCTAATAGATTGAAAAAATGTTTACCTCTATTCATTAGCTCCAATCAATGTGCTTTTGTTGAAGGAAGGCTAATGGTGGAGAACATACTACTTGCACAAGAGTTGGTAAAAAATTATCACAAGCCTAACATAAAGCCTAGGTGTGCACTGAAGATTGATTTAATGAAGGCTTTTGACTCTGTGAGCTAGAAATTTATTTTCACAACCTTAGAAGCTTTGTCCTTTCCTCCTACATTTATCAATTGGATTAAGGCTTGTATCACCTCCCTTATGTTCTCAGTTGCTCTAAATGGGAATTTAGAAGGCTATTTTCCTAGTAAGAAAGGGATAAGGCAAGGTTATCCTTTATCACCATACCTTTTTGTCATTTGTATAGAGGTTTTATCAAGGATGCTCAACAAAGCTACCAAGGAGGGAATGCTACCTTTCCATTCGAAATGAAGTAATGTGGGACTAACTCATCTATGCTTTGCAGATGATTTGCTAGTATTCATAGACGGTTTAGCAAGAGCAATAGGTGCTGTTGATTTTATATTGAGACAATTTTATTTGGTCACAAGTTTAAAGGTCAACTATCATAAGTCAAAAATTTTTTGCAATGGAAAGCAACATAATGTAATAAGGGAGCTATCTGATTTGTATGGCTTCAAGGTGGGAACCCTTCTTGTTAGATACCTTGGGGTACCACTTATAACTGGAAGACTAATAGATGTTGCTTTAAAACCTCTCATCACAAAATAACTAATAAAATCAGTTTATGGACTTCTAGATAGCTGTCATTTGTAGAGAGATTGCAACTTATTTAATCTATTCTTCAGAGCATAACAAACTTTTGGTGTTCTATTTTCATTTTTCCAAAAAGAGTGATTAAATCAATGGAGGGAATTTGCAATGTTTTTCTTTGGAAAGGTAGAGCAATTGATGCAAGAAGAGCCAAGGTAAGTTGGGCAACAGCATGTCAACCAAAGATGGAAGGAGGATTAGGCTTGAAGCCTTTGCTTAATTGGAATGTGGCTTGCATTTTGCGATTAATTTGGTTGCTTTTAACAAAGGCAAGTTGTATATGGGTTGCATGGGTGCAAACATATTTGCTAAAAGAAAAAAGTTTCTAGTCAATAGGAATTCCAATAGACACAACTTGGAGTTGGAGAAAACTTTTTCTCTGGTATGATTCTTGGCATCCCAAGGGACCTCTTATTGAAGTATATGGGCAGAAAATTATACGGGGTGCAGCCATTCGCTCTCAAGCAAAATTGTCTCATGTAATCTAGGGGGATTATTGGAAATGGCCTCTTGCTAGGTCCCTTGAACTGTTGCAGATTCAAATTGCTTTGTGTGGAACGTTATATCCTAATCAAGCTATGGAGGATCAGGTTGTTTGGTTGGCTTCTCCATCAGGTTTTTTTCAAACAGGTGCTACTTGGAACTTTCTTAGAGAAAAAAGAACTAAGGTACCTTGGTTTAGACTCATTTGGTACTCAAATTCTATTCCCAAACATAGTTTTATTACTTGATTGGCTATATTAGATAGACTATTTACCAGGTCTAGATAGAAAAATTGGTCTTCTTCTGTTGATGACACTTGTGTGCTATGTGGGAATGCAAGTGAAACTAGGAACCATCTCTTCTTCTCTTATCCTTACACTGCTCATATTTGGGAAAAGATTTCTTCTATGTTAGAAATCCATTAAACTGTGTTTGGCAAGATGCTTTGGATTGGTTATGTAAGAGAGTTAAACATAAGGCTTTGTACAACTCTCTTATTAAATTAGCTTGGTGTGCATCAATATATCATATCTAGATTGAAAGAAATAGCAGGATACATAAACAGTTATATAGGTCTCCTTCTACAATAATTGATATGATTCAAATGGATGTTTGAGATAGAGTACTACGATTTGTAAAGGAAAGGTCTTCTCCCATGTCAAGGAGAATTGCAACTCAATGAGGATTAGAAATTTTATGTACAGCTAAGGCTTGAACATACAGTAGTTTAGGAGTTGTTTCATTCTTTGTACTAACATTGGTAGCAACCTTAACCAAAAGAGCT